TACATAAGAGAGGACTGTGCTCTAGGAAAAGTGGATATTCAAAAAGGCTTGAACATGCTGAACAGCTTTTGTCCTTGCTCTGCTTTTTCCTATTGCAAAATTAAACAATACCAGTTACGTCACTGAAGTCATACAATTGGTGAAAATTCCTAAAGGAAAGCTTGCATGCCCTAAACCAAATGGGATCTGCTGTTAGAGGCTGGGTGAGGAATAGTTTTCCAGCCTTACAAAGAAAAAGCCAACAGCATTTTGACTCATTGTTTTAATTTCTGCCCCAAGACAGGAAGACTTTTCCAAGCTCCTCGTAAGCACCTGGAGCAAGAGAACCCAGTCTGGCAAACAGGTCAGTCACTGGGGCACTCTGGGGATGTGGGACACTCACGTCCTCTTTGCTCCCACTCTGATGTACTCCCACAATCCTGCTGAGTGTCCTGCTAACACAGGGCAGGATTAATCTCTGCCTCTCAGTCACTAGGAATTGCTCCACTTTGCAGTAAGTAATTACATGTTACTGGGAGAGAAAGGTTGTCTCCATCCTTCAGATGCAGTAGGATGTTAGAAAACCTCAGGTAAGTCCATGCTCCAGTAAATACATGATTATTAAACAGCTTCAACATAAGAGGCCTGAGATATAGCTACCCAGAATAGCCAGCTGCTTCACCATGAAAATGCTTATGTGAGATACAAAGCATCATGAGTCAAGCCTGTAGCTGAGCTGTGATGCTTTGAACCTTAATGTCCCAAATGCATGCTCTCCCAGACCACTGGAGAGGGAGGGAATCACTCAGTCTTCCTCACAACTAGAGCTGCTACCCTGCACCTGAGACAGCTTTTGTAGGATGAATTAGGCAGAGATGAGTTCCATAAAAGCTGTTTCTGTCCATGAAGAGGTCTGGTTCAGCATTCCCCCTCTCTGCTCCCAAAACTACAGTCCTAACACCACAGGACACTTGAGCCAGAGACTGGCTATCATGAGAATCCATCATAGTGCTGATACTGGCCATCTCTGAAGGTCTTGGGCTTGGGAGACTAGAGTGATATCAGAAGTGTGGATAGGCTCTGAGGGTCTGAGAACAACCTCATGGTCTGTGCATTTTGACTGTGTTTGATTGTTTTGTTGTTACAGGAGAGGAGCAGGCTGTCTGCAAATGTGTTCATAAAGCATGCCTGGATGTAGTAAGTGTGAGCTGGAGCTGACAAATGTTAAATGAAATCTAAGTGATGATTACCTGAGTTTTAGAAATTGCTTTGACACACTGGATGCACATTTACTGAGCAGTCTGGCTGGCAACTGAGCATAGCTTCCAGCCTTGGTGTATATATACAGTGAATATATGAGTTCCCTTAATCCTTGTTTAGCCTAGCAGCTCCACCTACCCTGTAGACTGAAATTCTCTCTCATTCATTCATTAAGTATGCCCAGCAAAAGCACCTCCTGAGCCATCTCCTCTGCCTTTTCTTCCAGTTCTAAGTACAGAGGTTCAAAAGATCTGCATGTAGACACACAATATAAGTCCATTCACCCTGTCCGCAAGAGCAGATACTGGTTGGATGTGCATGTAGGCAGTGGCACAGATAATGTTAGGAATTCCCTCCTGACCTCCAACCATCAGCTACATATTTTGAATTGGAAAGTACCTCCAGTAAATGGTATTTTGTAGCAAGCAGTCTCTACTGGAGAGAACCCTGCTAAATCTGGGGAGTCCTGTCACATCCTCACTAATGTAGGAACAGTGAGGATGTGAGATAACCCTGACTTTGTAGTGCAGATCCTTCCCTCAGAGATCTTCATAGATGTGATCTTTCCACAAACATTACTTACCTGCTACAGATCCCAGCCTTCCACACACTTTATAAATATCCAAAGTTCTGGGGAAATCAATGGCCTTACATATCTGTGCAAAATAAACAGCATTTTCTCCTTAAAAATGACAACATTCAGTCACCTCCAGAACCTGCTGCATTCAGCCAATATGTTTGAAGATTGCAGAATCAGAATCTAGGTCGGAATATAGGAGTGATTTAGGTCAGAAGGGACCTCTGGAGGTCACCTAGTCTAACCCCAGTTAAAGAAGGGCCAACTCCAAAGTTAGATCACAACGTTAGGTCACTCACAGTTCTGTTCAGTTGAATTTGAACATCACCAAGGATGGATATTTCACATTGTCTTTAGACCCATTTCAGTGTTTGACCACTCTCCAGGTGAATATTTATTTCCTAATTTCTAATTGGGATATCTGATGTTGTGTTTTGCATTCATTGCATGTTATAGAAGCATAGAATGGTTTGGGTTGGAAAAGACCTTAAAATCATCCAGTTCCAAATCCCCCTGACGTGGAGAGACACCTTCCATTAGACTGGGTTGCTCAAAGCCCTGTCCAGCCTGGCCTTGAACACTGCCAGGGATGGGGCAGCAACAGCTTCTGTGGGCAACCTGTGCCAGTGCCTCACCACCCTCACAAGGAAAGAGCTTCTTCCTAGTACCTAATCTAAATGTACCCTCTGTCAGTTTAAAGCTATTACACGTTGTCCTGTCGCTGTACACCTCTAAGAAAAGTTTGCCTCCACACTCTCTACACCCTCCCCTGAGGTAGCTGGGGACAGCAGTGAGATTTTCCCCTTAACCTTCTTCTTGTAAGATTGATAAACTTAGTTCTCCCTCCCTTTATACATCATACACCAGTCCACTTCTTGATGGACTCACCATCTTGATGACCTTCCACTGGAATTCCCCCAGTATGTCAGTGTCTTCTACTGAGAAACCCCAAACTGGATGTAAAATTCCAAGGCTTGTTGGATAGAAGGAAATAGTTACTGAGGGCAGCAGTCCTGCTTATATAGGCCAGGATGTTATAGAATGTGTAATGGCACATTGCAAACTGCAAATTCTTGCCCAAGAGGCCACCCAAGTCCTCTTCTGCAAAATGCTGTTGTCCCAGCCAGTCCCCAGCCTGTATTGTATATAGGGTTCTTCTGTCCCAGGTGCAGACCTTTGCATTTCCATATATGCCATATATATATATATATTTATATATATATGTATTAGTCTACATTTTCTATTTCAAATTAATAACCAACCCATTCAACTCCAGAATCTGTTAAAAAATATATATATTTTTAAAGTCCAGTAAGTAAAATAATGAAATTATCAATAAGTTTTCATTAGAACATAAACTAGTTTTACTTCTTCAGATTTAATACATTTTATCTCAATTTCCCTTTAAATCTAATTTCTGTCTATTTGTTCCTGAAGCAAAAAATAATCATCTCTTTTCAGGAGCCCATATTCCATAATTTGTGGCTGATTCTGTAATTCTGGCCTTCATAGGCTTTTCTGGGAAGGGCCCACGCAACAAAAAGCTCTCAGTTCTAGCAGTTGCTAAGTGTTTTGATCAACTGAATGACAGTCAAGGGTGTTTGGCACCTTGCAAACTAGGAATTGTAAATCAGAAGGCTTTATGAAAGCCTACAAACTCCATTTTGGCCTTTGAGTGATAAGTAAAAAACCCTAACCATTCCAAAATTGTCAGTATTCATGTTCATAAAAGATAAAATAATCATCTCTCCCCCAAAAATATGGCAGTATCTTTCCAGAATTATGTTACAGTCTCTAAGGCTACATCTGTTCTAGTAATTACAATAGGCCAGGTCCTGTTCTCTGTCTCTAAGGATGAATAGCACAGCACAGCATGAGTCCATACAGGGAAATTCCCACCCCACCAAAACAAGGTCCTGAAGCTGTTCCGGATCTACTGCCTTGTGTTTCACTTAATAGCAGAGAGAAACGAGTAGCTGAACTAGAAAACATCTTGTTTCTTTAGCCCTTGTTATTGTTACTTCGCTGTTTTTCATTAAAAAGCCCAGATTCAGAAGAGACATCAAGTGGGTTTACCCTCTGTATACCACGAGTGCAGTGTGCATCAGGTACTCCCCAGACATCTCCTTCATTTGAGTCTACTCCCCCAACTCTCTCAAAGTGCAGTTCACCAGCGTTATAGTCATTGATTATTAACATTGATGCCTTTCTTTCCTTCTCCCCCCCGGAGATGCAGACTGTGAGACTCATGTTAGTGCCTGCCGGGTTCTCACATCATGGGTCAGCTCCGATCCAAAAGCTCTCGGGACCCGTTATCCCAGCACCACCTGGAGAAGCTGGGTGCCAGCACCGGCACATCTCTGCCTGCACACCGTCAGAGGCTTTAAGGCTAACCCTGGCTGTATGGAGCTGGTACCCAGGGAAACCTGCTCGGTGGGTTTAAATCCTGCCTTCTGCTAGGAGGCCGAGAATTGCACTTCTCATCACAAGCATAGTGATAAAACCCAAGTGACTTGCTCAAACGTTTCATTAGCCGTTAATGTCGTTAATTTAACAATTAGTAACAACAGCCAAGAGATAGATTATTTCTAATAAAAGACCCGCCAATTGCTAACAAGTCAGGAAATGCCGGAGCAGAAGTTCTCAAAGAAATGATCCCTTGCCACATCCCCCCTGCACAGAGTAACTGCGATTACTGACGGCTTAGCTGGGCACAGACTCCAGCCGACATGGGAGCTACACAATTCCCGTGTCACCTCCCTAACACATTTCCCGAAGAGCCCCGCTACAATTTCGCAGGGATCCTAACTTTCTACGCCTGACACGGAATACTCCCCATGGAGGGAAGCCACCCGGGGGAGCAGCGGCTCAGACAAAGCCGAGGCTGCGCCTCGCACGGTGCGGGCAGTGGCTGCCGGTTCTGCTTCTCCCCGCGCTGGCTCTAAGGGACGCTCCGCGCACTGACATGACTAAGCACGACCCGCACCGAGAGGCTGCTCGCCCAGCACCCGCGCACGGCGGGGGGACTCACCTGCCCGACTCCTCCGCAGGGCCAGCCGCTCCTCCGCGCGGGCTCCGGCGCCGCCAGCGCCGCCCCGCGCCGCCCCGGAGCCGCGCACCGAGCCGCGCCCGCGGAGCCACCGCCTCCCGCCGCCGGGACCGGCGCGCCGGGGCGGGCCGGGGGTGCTGTCAGCCGGCGGCTGACGCAGGGCGCTTCCTCCCGGGGATGAAGACCCCTGCGGCGGGCAACCACCAGCCGCCGCGCCCGGCGCCGCTCGGGGCAGACGGGGACCCTCCGCGCCCGCGGTAGGGTGTCCCTCCCCTTTTCCTTCCCTTCCGCGCCCCGAAGCCCCCAGCATGGAGCGCCCTCTCAACCTCAGCTGCTTTGCCGATACGACCCCGGACACCGGCAACCGGAGCGGGAACTCCGCCGGTCCGGACGGGGACCGGGCGCCCCTCTCTGTATTCAGCGTGTTGGTCCTCACCCTGTTGGCCATGCTGGTGGTGGCCACGTTCCTCTGGAACGGGCTGGTCCTGGCCACCATCCTCCGGGTGCGCACTTTCCACCGGGTGCCCCACAACCTGGTGGCCTCCATGGCCATCTCCGACGTGATGGTGGCAGCCCTGGTCATGCCCCTCAGCTTGGTGCATGAGTTGTCGGGGCGGCGGTGGCGGCTGGGCCGGTTGCTCTGCCAGGTGTGGATCTCCTTCGACGTGCTGTGCTGCACCGCCAGCATCTGGAATGTCACAGCCATCGCCCTTGACCGCTACTGGTCCATCACTCGCCATCTAGAGTACACGCTCCGCGTCCGGCGCCGCATCTCCAATATCATGATTGCCCTCACCTGGGCACTTTCTGCCTTCATCTCCTTGGCCCCACTGCTCTTTGGCTGGGGAGAGACTTACTCGGAGAACAATGAGGAGTGCCAGGTCAGCCAGGAGCCTTCCTACACCATTTTCTCCACCTTTGGCGCCTTCTACCTGCCCCTCTGTGTAGTGCTTTTTGTGTACTGGAAGATCTACAAGGCTGCCAAGTTTCGAATCGGGTCTCGGAAGAACAACTCTATCACCCCCATTACACGAGAAGGCCTGGAGGTAGGTCAGCTTGGTTGCTTCTTGCTCTAGTCAACTCCTGGTATCAGACAAGCCCTTGCAGTGGAGGGGGAAACTTAGTGCTAAAGTGTGCAAGTGAACAGCATCCCATCAAAGCCCTGTGAATCCTGGAGGCTTTAAAGGGAAAGCTGACTGCAAAGCTTGCAAGCCCAGTTTTCTGACTCCTTCCAAGTCCCCAGCAAGGTGTAGCTAAAGCAACTTTGGGCAGATTGTGAGCCTGAGCTCCACGTGGGTGTGCAGTGACTCACAGCCGTCCCCCTGTGGAATGCTGAATCAGTGCTCGGGAGCAGGAGTGAGGGGTCAGCCTTCCTCCCATGGGGAGCCATGTGGGGGTGTCAGTGCTGGGATCCTGTCTCCACTAGGGACAATCCCCTGGCAAGCAGCTGTGGCTGTGGGGAGGCTCTGAATTTACCCGTGCAGAACGTCCTTGTACATCCTTTCTAATCGTGGCTGCATCATGTCAGTTCATCCCAAGCACGGTGACTGTGCACTGCAAAGACTTGTTGGGGAGAAGGAGGAAATGTATGCTCATCTTCTTGCCTTTCCTCCCAAGGACTCTTAATGGGTTCAGAGAAAGCAAGGAGACTTGTGCATGGCATGTGGGTGTGTGCCTGTTGTACTGATCAGATTGTAGATGGGGAAATAATCTTATTGCAATGCCATGTGAGCAGTTCTATGTGCCCATACCTCACTAGGCTCTTCAGTCTAGCCTCACCTAAAAATAGCCTCCATTACCCAGAAGAGGGTCATACAGCCACTCTCCCCTCAATTGGAGCATGACGTAGATAGCCTGTGTTTCCCAGTGAGCTCTGGTCATCACCTGCGTCGCTTGGTTGTGTACCTGCTGTGGGGGATCAACTGACTGAAGCACATATGGTGCAACTTGTGTTTGTGTTTGGCAGGTAAAAGAAGCTGCCCAGCAGCCACAGATGGTCTTCACTGTCCGTCATGCCACTGTTACGTTCCAGACGGAGGGAGACACGTGGAGAGAGCAGAAGGAAAAGAAAGCTGCCCTCATGGTGGGCATCCTTATTGGGGTCTTTGTGCTCTGCTGGATCCCCTTCTTCATCACGGAGCTCATCAACCCCCTCTGCTCATGTGACATCCCACCCATTTGGAAGAGTATTTTTCTATGGCTAGGCTATTCAAATTCCTTTTTTAATCCACTCATCTATACTGCTTTCAACAAAAACTACAACAATGCCTTCAGGAACCTATTCTTTAGGCAGCACTGAGCAGAAAAAGCTTTCCTGCTGTCCCAGGAAGATCATTTCAACTCTCAATGAATCCTATCAAATTCTTGAGGAAGATCAAAGCCACAGGTACTGAGGTGAATCTATAGATGCATCCCCATGTGTCATACGTCCCAGCAACAGTCCTGGTTCCTATGCAGACTCTCCATCCCCCTGCTAAGTCAGCTGCTATTTTAACTGCAAACAGCATGTAGAGTTTCTCTGGCCAGCAGCATGGCATTCTCCCTCCAGTGCCCTTTCCTAATGACGTTCTGTTTGGTGACAGTAACCGTGCAGAGGAGTCTGCTGGCAAGGAGTCATATTTGAAACTGATTTGGCTGCTGCCGGTCTCTCACAGCATTAACAACTTTGTCCCATGTGCAAAGCTGGGACCCTTTAATGTCAAGAGATTTTGTGATTATCTATAAAACTAGATATTTTATGGGTTGGATGAAAAGACTGTCTTTCACTTTTAGAGATTGTTAAGTGTTTGTTTGGGGAAATAAAACCCTCAGTAATGGTTAAGAGCGGACTCTAAGTACAAAGCCTTTTCTCACATGCTATATCAACAGCGAATTGTGCTATTTGCTATTGGTATTCTGTGTAGCAAGTTGGGGTCTTTTAAATTATTTATTGTGGAAGCTTAATGCATGGTGTACCCTGGAATGAGAGAGAATGCATGGGAAATCCACTCTCGTTCTCTGACTGCTACGTGTGAGCATCTGCCTGAGATCTTTACTTTCAGAAATACCAGCCATAAATGTTAATCTTTGTGTCTGTTGCTTCCCATTTTAAACCATAAATGTGTTTTGAGCAGCTTTGGGGCAAGTTTCCTGTAATTGCAGGGGATTCAGGAAGTGTATTTCCAATTGCCTGTCAATGAGGAGCTGTGTTTTACTATTTCTGAGTGCAATTCAGGTCTTCTTGAAACCAAAGGCTCCAGTCCTGTGTGGTCATTATTGCTCTGTTGCCTTCCTGCCTTTCCATGTTGCTAACATAATTATAACAGTTGCCCTTTCACTCTTAGAATTAGAATTATGCACTCTACGCTGCACTGCTAGAAGACTGACAGGCCTTCAGATAAAGAAAAGCATTAGTTTTAGCTGTGGGTTGTATGGGGCAGCCGCTGAAATCAGACCAGAATTGAAATGGTGGAGAAAAACATGAGACAGGAATCGGAATGACATGATTTCGTGTCAGATATCTTAAGAAGAAGAGATAAGAGAGAAAAATGTCAATAAATCATGGGAAAAACTCCCTGGGGTGGGTAGGATTAGTTCCTAACCTTAGAAGATTGCGAGACATCAGATGTTAAAATTGTCAGCAGTCCTTTAAACCAGTCAAAAGTCCTGGTAGAGTTGGTAATGAAAACCCTTTTTCTTTTCATATCTCAGGACAGGTGAAAATGGAAGCAGATCTCAAGGTGCTATCAAGTGTTGAGGCTCTTTCAGGAGCAGTTAGACAAACATTCATCAGGACTGACATAGATGTAGCTGATCCTGCCTTGTGGCAAGAGGAGAAATAGGGTGGCCCCTGAGATCTTTTTCAACACTATTTGATAAAAGTCTGTTTGAAATATTGGGTAAAATCCTGCCCTCAATGAAAGCAATGGACAAATTCTCAGTGATTTCAAATAAGTCAGAATTTTATCTAGCATGTCTTGTCTTGTCAAAGTATAGTTTTAATGTTAATTCAAAGAGAAGGGTGGGATAGGAGCAATCTTCAAACTCCCCTGAAAGAGTCTCTGATCTGCACTAACTGTGGACCAATTGGTAGAGATTTCTTTGTTACATAATTTAAAGCCTTATTAGTGACATCTCTGATGTACCAAAAATTGTAATAAACTCTTGAGCAGCTTTTTTTTTTTTTTTTACTGGGGATATAAAGGTTTGCTTTCTGTGAAGAGTCCATTGCCAATACAGAGTTGTTCTTTTCAGGAACTTACCACTTGTCTTGTGTCAAGGGTTGTTTAGACAAAAAAGAGTTGAGAAAAATGCTTCCTTGTCCAAGCCAGACCCTGAGCTAAGCTTGGTGGTGTGTGAAAGTAGGACACTACTTGTTAAGCCATCACAGCAACACTAATACTAAAGCATGGATTAACGGTGAAGCTGGACTTTAGCTCACCATTTTCACTCATAGCATCATGGCTATACAACCCTGTTTCAGACTCAGCTGTGTTCATCCCCATTTTTATTTGCTCTTTGTGAGCACTGCAGATTTTCTCTCTGTGTTGTGTGGGATCCTCACATAGGCTGTGGAATCAACTGCAAACTCAAATCAGTGTCCTGTGTAAGGAGACAAAAATTAAACTGAAATTGATGGGTAACATCCCCACTTCTGCAGCAGCTCAGTGCTGGGATGGAGCTCTCTTTCATTACACCCTGTGTTTCTTCATGCTATGCCTTAAACAGTGAAAGGAAGACAAAAGACAATTTTAAAATAACACTGGGAAATTCTAACATGTCTGTAGTCATGGATAATCCATCATCCTGGTGTAAATTACATCCACCTTTATTTGACAATCCACACCCCATACAATCCATATTGATCTTCTGCAAATAACAGCTTCCAGTTGGTCATAAATTTTGGGTTTCTTTCTTTGTTTTTCAATTTTGACATAATCAGCAGCTATTATACAGGCCAATTCCTACAACTCTTACTTGAGACTTAAGACCATTGGCTTTTCTTCTAAACACCATTCCTGCAATGTAATATGACCATGCAGGGAAAATATTAGTATTCTGGATATTGTGCAAAAGAGTGGTACTGAAATATGCCATGATGGTCCGAGCATAGTGAAGGGGCACAAATAAACCTTGACTTCTGATCCTGGCTCCGAGGCTTTTTAAAAACCTCTCAGTATTCAAACACAGATGCTAAGTGGGCTCCCAGAGACCCAAATCATGTTTGAAGATGTACACAGGCCCAGCTTCAAAGGATGTATCTTGTACCTTCTTGTTCCCGTTTATAAAACAGAATCAGTGGTGTGAAGAGATCTGCCTCACCGAGGCTTTGTGAGGATTAATTAGTAAATGTTTATCATGTACCAGGAAGGTGGAACACTCTGGTTTGAATGCCAAGCAGCATTATAAATTGGACTTCGATTTAATTCCTCAGAAGAACATTATTGCCCATTATTATTGAGTTGCCTATGCAATTTAATGGCTATGTAATACTTCCAGAAGAGACTCAACTAACCTTCTTCCACTTGCAATTAATTTATTTTACTCTCAATGCCCTGACAGTTCAATGAACATCTGTATGGGAGCTCGATAGCTGGGGCAATGACGGCACATTCTGAATGCTGTCTGCTGAATGTCTCCTTGCAGTGCTGAAAGCATATCGTCAAGGTTCAAGGAGCACCAGCTCTCCAGGCAGTCTGCTCCCGTGTTTCCTTTATTTTTTAGGGAGAAGAAAAGGTCACAAAAGAATGCCCTTGGATTAGATGACAGGTTGGCAGACCACCTTCCTCTTCCCTCCACATCCTGTTGACCTTTCTTCTCAAAGCAGGACTCCAGGACAAGTACCGATCCTGCACAGACAAGGCCATCCCCTGTTGTTAATATTCCTGGGCATTTCCTAAAAATCAGTGCAGTTGGCTTTAACCTGGCAGCGGCAGCAGGAAGTGGGAGTTTCCTGCAAGTAAAGTTGCAGGCAGTTAAAGACATTTCACCTGACAAAGGTAATTAATGACTGCTAGCTCCAGCAGTTGCTGCACTGAGCTACGACTGACAAAGTGTCAAAGTGAGTATTGCAATGTAGTAATTTGAGCTGATTTGTTTGCGAAGGGCTTGTCGCCGTTTCACTCTTGGATCCCTCATTTTACCTGCATCGGTTCAGCAGCAAACTGGGACACAGGCATCATTAATGCTCCATGTGGGAACAGTGGGGTAAAACATGCATGGCAAAATCTGCATCCCCACTGCGACCCATGCTGGCTGAACATCACAAAACTGCCAGCCTGTTCATCAAATTGAAGAGGTGGCCAAAGAGATCTTTAAATCACCATTATTTTCAGTAACACTGAAGTACTGAGGAAGTAGCAGAAAACTGGAAGAGTGCTGAAGTTGTGCCAGTATTTTTAAAGGGCGAATTTGGAGAGCCAAGTACTCATAAGGCTAATACTGCTACTGATTTACAGCTTGAAATTGATCCTTGGCAAAAATGTGGAACAGCTGATAAAGGACTCAGTGAATAAAAAATTACAGGAAATAAATATAAGTAAAATAAATCACGTTGATGCCTTTCTTTGATTGCAGCACATGGTTCACTGCTGATGGCGATATGAAGTATTCACTCGTCACTAATGAATCTGACTTGACAACACTCAACAGTTCCATGAAAAAGTGAGGAAAAAAACAATATGAGGTTCAAACTGCCCAATATTTGCTAATGACTCATGGGCTGGAAGAGGTATAAATACAGCAAATGCAGGCTCTTGTACAGAGAAATAAGGATGCAAACTGGCTGGGGGTATGTTATCCCAGTGTGAGGGAAAGGTATGCACCTAGAAGCAGTGAGATAGGACCCTTGTTGCAGGTGGGGAGGCATGGCCGTGTCAGGGTGCCTCAGGAGCCAAACACAAAGGACTGTTCAGCATTCTGGGGACAAACAGACTTATTTCTTACCTGCGCACAGGCTGCGTCCAGCTATGGATTTTATTCTGGTCACTGGAGGAGAAGCTACGATTTCAGTTTGTTACATTTTCCCTGTTCCCTGCTCCCCACCACTGCCAGGCAGTCAGCCCCAGCATTGCAGTTCTCTCAGCCATGTAATTTCCCATGCTGGCCAAGTCAAATACTTTCCCTAATCATCCTAAAAAGGAAGACAGATGGGCTCTTTCTCTGGGTCCCCCCGTGCATTGCTGTTGTTCTTCTGTATAACTAACAGTTTTAGTGGTGGGAACAACAGCTTCTGCAACGCCAAACCCCTGCTGCCAGCTCAGTGGACGGGACCAAGCAGGGCTCGATGCGGCCCTAGGGGTTGGTAGATGGAGCAGGCACTGCCCAAACACTGCTGTCTGGCAGTGACTAGGACGAGGAAAGAGAAAACAGGAGGATATGTGCTTGCCTCAGATTTTTGCTGGAGCTGTTCCTGACAAACCAGTCCCTAATGCTGCTCCTAGCTGCCCTCCCTGCTTCTGGTGAGACCAAACCTGACCAGGCTGCCCCCGACGTGGGTCTGGTCATCTCTGCAGAAATGCAGAAGGGAGGGGAAAAGATTTCCCTAACCCACTGCATCCCTAATCACAGGAAAAAAATTCCCAACCCTGACTGCCTCTATGGGAGAGGACGCATTTCCTGCATGGCGTAGGTATGCACCCTGCCCGGTTCAGTGCCCTTCCCGCTGCTAGCTGCACAGGGTGGAAATCTCTGCATCATTCAAAAATACCTCCTGCTGGACAGGTGCCTAAGTTTGTTCAAGCATTAGCTTGAAATTTTGCCTTTTTCTTCAGTTCAGGGCTGCAACCTGAGGTCAGTCTTTCTTCCTTGTGCCTCTTATCGAGTCACAGTGATGCACAGGTTACACACAGGTCCCACCACCTTTGTCTGCTGATACAAAGGAGGGCAACCTTTCAAAACTGGCATCTTCACTTGTGGAAAAGAACCCCTTGTTTCTGGGTTCAAGCTGCCAAACCAACCACTGAGGTGCCACAAAACCCCAGTGTCTGCTTTTTCTTGCCTGAGCTACCATGATTTAATGTTTGAATTACCTCGCTCTTCACAAGACACTTGGCTGGGCAGCCCCAAAGCTTAAACCATGCCTGGTCTGGCTCATTTTGCTACGATCCATCACATATCCCACCTTTCTACCATTCTCCTGGGGTGCCATGTTGGAGCTCTGGATATTAGAAAGCCATTCATACAATGGTCAGGCTGCTGCCTGTGCAACACCTCCCTGGTCTGGCACAGCTGGGTCAAACAAGGCTGTTTCCAAAACAAAAGCTGCTGTGGCACATAGACCATGGTGAAAATTACTGTGATCACCTTGCAGCCCTCTTGTCTAGATCTGCTAACAGCCTGATATAAGGCCCCACAGGCTACCTGTGCTCCTGTCAGGCAGACTTTACAGGGTCACGTAGTCGCACAATTTAAACGGAGATCTGCTTTCAAGGAGGGGGTAGAAATAACTTTGATGCAATGCCAAACCCAGCTCTTTCAGTGGGCACTGGAGCATATGGAGCCTCTCGCACAATTGCCTGGGAGCTGCAGGTCTGTGATGCCTTTTCTCTGCTCAACTGCTCACCTGGTGCCAGCGTTTCCAGGTGCATTAACAGAGGATGCTCCTGTGCACGTCTTGGACCTTCCACCCACACATCATGGTGCCAGGGTGAATATTAAACAGACAGGAGGAGCGCAGCAGATGCAAAGTGCAAGTACACTTACTGGCACAAGGGGCTACTCACTATCTGGAATTTGAATGGGAAAAGAAACTGCAAAGCTGTGGAATTAAGTAATTAAGCTTTCCAAGGCTTCTTAAAAGGAGGCAGGTAGATGCCAAGGCAAGATAATACAGCACCCAGCTATGCTCCTGTGCTTCCCGCAGTTTTGTAGCACAGATCTCAGCCTTACCTGGGATTTCAGAGCCCATTACCCTGACTAAAGCCCTAGGGCTACTTTATAAGCTGTTAATAGTTGCCAACCAAAATGAGTATCAGGGCTGTTTCTTATTAAAATGAGCATTTAAGCCAGCTGGAGAAGACTGTAAGTAGCATAAACCCTTTAAATTCTTTCTGAAACCCCAGAAGCTTGCAATGTTTGCATACAGGACACAGCAAATAAGTTCTAAAGGAAATCTGTTTGACAGCAAATCTGCTGTTGCTCTTCAGATCAGCTTCTCCACCACTTTTACTCACATATGTCAACAAG